CCCAGGCCAGACAGCAGAGGGAGGAAGCAAAAGAATGGCTACTGTCTGAAAGCAGCAAGAACCCAGGGGGCTCTGAAGAATGGCCCCCACGGCTGCAGGAAGGGCGGCTAACTCTCCCACAAAGGGGCACAGGGCACTCACACACCAGGAGGCCTGGTCTGGACCTGGAAGGGAAGGACCATAGAAAACCAGTGAAAGGAACCCTGAGCCCTGGAATCAAATGTGGGTGGCATGGGCACGGGGGTCCCACCGGGACTGGACGCAGGCAGCTAGAGAAGCAACCACACCCATTTCAGCTGGAGCAGTGAACACTGGAGACGGTGGCATTTTCAGTGCCGTGGCACGTTGTCCTACACATTCCTTGGTTTACAAATCACTTCCCTGCATATCCTCTTCCTGATTTTCACTTTTCTAACCACCCTGAAAAGGTTGTAGAATCATGTATCCATAGGCGTGTTTTGCACATGAAGAAGCCGAGGTTCAGAGAGGTTAAGCAGCCTGTCCAAGGCCTCCTCAATGATAAGTGGCAAAGCCTGACCTTTTGACTGTGAACGTGAAGCATATACACTATTGCATATTATAAGATCATCTGTACCCACTTACTAATAACATGTAATAAGATTTTCAAAAGTTAACCCTCTGGAGTCCCACCTCTACAATTCATACTACTCTTGGCAAACTTGAGCTAAACTCCCCTCCCGGCAAAACATCTTTACCTAACATTTCTGAATGTGAAAATACAAATTCGGGAAACCTTTCCCCTGCACGATGAAAGTTCCAGGCTCTCTCTTGCCCACGGCCACTACAGGGAAGAAAATGGTAGAGGCTGGCCTAGGTTCCGTTTAACGAGACAGTATCAAACCACCCTGCCTTTAGTTTATTAGGAATATGCAAAGCAAATGGGGCAAGCACTATGTAGCCATTGTGGGACTAACATAATGGGTGGAAAGATTTGAACAAGGCCAGTGGCGGCTGCTGTATTAAGTCTGCAACTGAAGTCAAAACAGCAGCACATGGAGGACATCGGAACCCAGCGCAGAAAGTGAGTCCTTGCTGAAGGCCAACCAGGTTTACTCCCCCACCCGGCAAGGGAACAGCAAGGAGGCAACCAATGCCCTCCAGTAAGAAGAATTCCTTTGGCCTCCTCACCACTTATCAGTGCGGGCAGTGCATTTATCTCGGCAGTGTTCCTTTCACCTGTATTTGCTCCCACCCCCAAATTTCCTCTTGGGCTTATCTCCAAGCCATCCTTTTCCTCAAAAGATTAAAGATTTAAGCACAACCAGAGAATAGTATATGTAGTCTTCAAAGAGCACTTTAGACATCATAAAGAATATTTTAACAGGCACTATTTTTTTTTCCTTACCACACCTGTCCTCATAAACCATTTACGAGTTCAGTAGGGAAAGAGAATATGGCAGCTCACAAAAAGGAGAGACAGCCCAGGAATGAAACCTTGGACTCTAGATTACTTGAGCCCCCCCCCCCCCGCCCCCCGCAAACCCCAAACCCAGTCTGCCTCTCCTTGACCACTCCCCAAAGGGCTAACAGGGCTTTTCAGTACCCCACCACCCCCAGCCTGCTCCTACCGGTGGCACACAGAGCAATGAAGGTCTGGGCATGCTTGCGGATCAGAGGCAGCTTCTCATTGTCCTGGGGCAGCCTGCGCAGGATGGGCTCGATGAAGTCATGAGGAGTGACCGCGGCCAGGTTCCACTTCAACTTCCCCAGCACCACCAGCTCCCACTCCTGGTGGAGAAGGGAGGAGAGTATAAAACCCACAGGCGACCTGGTGTTGCTGGGGCTGGGGGTTGGGGTCCAGACAGTTTTAATGATGCTCATTAGGACGCTGCTAGATTGTAAGGCTTCCCATTTGTCAAAGTGCTCCTCAAGCTTTGAAGTTGCTGAAGGCTCTTCTTATGCTTCAAATGTCAGGCTCCACTGAAAATAATGAGAGCCCAGGTAGCGGCTGCCAAGATTCTACTTTCTTCTATTTCTTTTCCCCTCCAGCTCCCCACCCCCACCCCACCGACTTCCATGCAATGCTATTGCCTGCCCACCCAGAACGCTGAACCTACAGTAAGATGCTGCCAAGGTCATTGTGGCCCTTTGGTAGTAATTTATTGTATATGTCTCCATCACTGAAGTCTTTTTAATCCTCACGGAAAAATGATGCACTCAGATAAAGCTCAAAATAAGGTTCCTTGGCCCAAATCCTTGGCAACCAATTAGCTTGCTTATAGTTGGTGCCAAAAATTGCCATTTTTCTCTCTGCTAAAACTTTCCCCTCAACACATAATGCAGAAATCTTGGGGCAATGATACACAGCCAGAGCACCCTTTCATAGGCCTTTGCCATCAAAACTGAAGGGCCAGGATGGTCATTAGCAACACCATTGTGCACCTGGGGGGTGATTCAGGGTCAGGTGAAGGTGCTTGTCCAGGGTCACAGAATCTTAGTGCAAATGCTGAAGGGGGACAATACAACCTTGTCTCTTTTAGGCCTTTCGCCAGCAGCCCACCTAGCAAAAAACCTTGCTTTTCTCCCTTATTGAGATACTTCTGGGGAATTGCGTTCAAAGGGAAACATGCCAAAAAGAACACTTTAAAAATGTGTAGTTAAAGGGCAAATGGGCCTATCAATTGATCATCTTCAGGAGCACCCAGCCTGTCGTGTACCCTGCTCTCCCGGTCCCTGAGAATGCGGAGCGGACTCCCTTCCATCTGCCAGGCAGCAACCCGAACCAGCCCGGCTTCCGCAGTGCTGACTGCCCGTTGGCCTGGGCTCACTCCCTTCCCGGACGCAGCTTTCTCAGATGTAAAGTGCAAGGGCTCCTTAAGACCCCAACCTCTGGGATCAAGAGATGAGGAATGGAAAAGGCATACTTGTTTGGAGCAATATCAATTAGCCTGGCTGGTCCTGGAAAAATTGGGGTGTCCTAAAGAACACCTCAGTCTACCATCATGTTGAAACAAATGAACCGTATGGAAGATGAGTGTTCCTGGCCCGCCTTGAGAAAAACAAACTGGTTGCCAATTCGAACAACTTTTTTTCTTTACAAACTGTGAAGGTATTGGGGTAGAACAAAATCCCTGATAAGACTACTAAACAACCCGTGTCTTCTGAGATGTCTTGAAATTCCAGCCCTTCCTTCTCACAGGGGAATGTGAGTATAAATCTCTCCTCTTGTACCATTATTAAAGGAAGCAGATCTCCCAGAAGAAAGCACCTTTCTGGGCCTCTCGGACCAACCCAGAAGCAGCTGAAATCTGGCAGCGGTTCAAAGGTGAAGTCATTCAGGCCCCTCTACATTCTCGGCAATTCCTCCCCCACCCTTGCACATGTCTGCCACTAGATGGCAGCACAGCTCCAGAAAGGAAGGCCTCTCACAAAGAGCTCAGTCCTAGCAGCCAGTCAGCTTTGTGGACTTTGTGCAGGCCTTGCCAGTAAGGGAAAGGGCGGTAGGAGGGGGCCCTTTTTCTAAACAGTGAAGAGAAAGGTGTGCGGACAGACACCGAAGGTGGACGGCTCTACCGTTCCACTGCTGCAACATGGACGTCTTAAGTGTGAAGCTGCAGGGAAAAAGAGTTAGATTAGGTGGGAAAAGGGTTTGCTGGTAGAAAACCAGTGAAGACAGAACCCATGTGGTTGTAGAGGTCACAGCCCCACTGGAGGCAGGAGCTCACGTCTGAGATTCCTCCAATGGGGGCCACATTTTGACTTTGCTCAAAAGTCAGTGAACTCATATTTATTGAACAGCTACTATGTGCAGGTATCTTGAGACTTTATAGCTACAGAGGCACTACCTTTGAACTTCAAGTTTTTAGGGGACACACCACCACACATTCCAATCATGCAGACACATTCCTATCATGTGCGCAGCCAGACTATTTTCTCAGAATTCGGTGATTGAATTTTATTGAAATATGATCATGGTGTTCCCTACACACACACACACACACACACACACACACACACACACACACACCTGCAAATGAATCTCACCAATACCAATCTCCATGAAAACCTTATCTGTGGATGTAGCCTCAGTAGTTCGTGGGAAGACACACAAAAAATCTTATTAAAAGAAATATCTCCTGTGAGTGTGCACATTCCAGTGGTGGGTAATTCTGCATCCTAAGAATTTATTTGGAGACCAGGAGAGCACTAGGAGAGAGCTGCGAGTGGGGCACGAAGGGAGGGAGAAAGGGGACAGTCGTTACCAGCAGTTCCTGGGGCTTGATGGAGTTGTCGGTATAAATGCACAACTTTTCTGCCGTCAGCGGGATGGTCTCTTTGAGCTTGGAGGCCAGGAACATGCAAACAGCACCCAGGAGCTGAAGGTGGGTCTTAGGAGTCGGAACCCCAGCCAAGAAGCGGTCCAGGTAATTCATGGCCAGAGGGAAGACCTCCTCCTCACACTTCTGCTCCTCACAGACCTACAATGCGGAGAAGAGTTGGAGGGAGGGGGGAGAAAATATCAGGAAAAGAGAAAGAAAAAAAAGAAGAAAAAGCATAATTTATAGAAATTACAAAAAATCTTTAATTTTTTGTGGATGGGGGAGGGGAGTAGAATGTGATAAGAATAAAAATGAGGAAACTGGGGGAAATCTAAATAGCCCATCCGTGCTGGGGGATTCTCCAGAAACCTTAAAAAAAAAACAAAACAAAACCAAAAAATTGGTGAAACTAAAGATCCAAAACGGGGGGGTAGGAGGTGGGGGAAGGCAAAGAAATTCGCAGCGGCCGCCGCAGCTTCACGCCGCTCCCTTTGGCTGTTCACTTCTTCCCTCACTAACTCACTCACTCTCTTTTTTGGATTTCGTCATCTTTTCAAAAAATCAATAAAAATATTCTGGAGGCTCCGGGGGTCTTCTTCTTGGTCTCATCCGGACCCCCAGACTCTACTCTATCATTCCCGACAATTGGAAAAATTGTCCCGGGGGGTCCCCGCGGTCCAGGCGCCGCTATTGGGGGGGTGGGTGGGGAGAGGTGGGGAAGGGAGGGGGAGGGCAGCTAGGAGGAAGAGCGCCGCAGCCTAGGCGGCAGGAGTCGGAGCAAGGGGGGGACGGTTTCAAAAAATAATTAAAAATCGAGGAAATATCCTAGAAAAGCCCTTTTGGCGTGAAAACCCCAAAGAGGATCCAGGCTTCCCAAAACGGAGGTTTCGGGTGCCGGAAAGGTCCGTTTCTCGATCCCTGGGGCTTTGGATCCCGAGGGGAAACTTGGAGGGGTGAGAGCCGCGGCGGGAGTGTCCGGCTGCGGCCCACAAGGGCAGAAACTGGGGGACGTGGTGAGGAGCTGGGGGAACGAGAGGCCCCGGGAGCCGCCGGAGAGGCACGGGGACTCCGATCTCCTCTTTAGGGGTGCCCCCATATCCCCCCTGCACACACCTCCTCCCCCCTTCCCACCCCACCCAAATCTCCGCACCGAGGAAACTGGAAAACCAAACTGTAAGTAACCGCTGTGAAATGGGGGCTGGGGGAGAGGGCACTAGGAGACGTGGTGCGGCCGCGATAACGGGGTGCGAGGGGGAGCGGGCGACGTTTTCCAGCCTTTCCAACCCGAGTTTTGCAAAGCAACATGGCGAAACCACGGCAGGTCCAGAGCTGTGCATACGTGGGCACACGGCTTGCTCTCGGCAAAGATTTGGAGCAAGGGTAAAGAAATGGTTCTTTTGGTCTCCCCTAAAACACACGTTTCTTCAATGTGACTTCCGGGGCTCCTAAATTCCCCGTCCCTCTCCTCCCTCCTCCCTCCCCCTCCCCCACCCCCCCCGTGAGTGCCAACGCGGAGTCGCGACCACATGCGGGGACCCGGGGCTAAGGCGAATTGGCTCTAGCCTTGGGGGGGGGGGGGGCTGCTTTTTTTAAACTTCTAGGTCCCGATTTCATCGTCCTTCTTAACAGCACCGAAAGCAGCCGGGGCTTCGCAAAGGGCAGGTCAGAATGGGGGTGGGAAGCAGCAGCCACATGCGTGCACACGCGCGCGGATGCTCCCCCACCCCCACTCCAAGACAGCCTCGTTTCTCCCAGATTTTCCTCTTTTCTCCCCTCCCCTCCCCCAGTTAATCTTGCATCTTGCAAGGAACTGAAATAAAGCCACGCGTCTCGCCAAAGGGTAACCTCGAACACAGGAGCGGGCAGGCGGGAGCGGGGAGGGGGGCGCTATCCTCTCCCAGTTTTAGGGCCCCTACTTGGTGTGTGTGTGGGGGGGGGATACGGGTGGGGACAGACGGAATGTCCGTCCGCAGACCTACCTCCAGCATCCAGGTGGCCACCATCCTGCGCATGAAGGGCTGGATGTCCTTCTGCACGCACTTGAAGTAGGAGCACTGGGGAAGGTAGCGCTCCTCGATGGTGAGCAAGTTCTGCAAAACGCGCTCATCGTGGAGCAGGTTGCCGTCGGGCACGGCCCTGCGCACCCGGTCCATCTCGCAGCACAGCAGCTCCATGGCCAGCTGGGTGCCCACTCGGTCCCCTGCTTTCTCCGGACTGGAAAAGTTTTTTGAAGGGGGGGAGGGGAAAGGGTTCCCCTGACCTCCTTGCTTTGGCTAAGTGGGGTTTTCGGGGGAATGGGAAAGGCAGAGAGGGAAGCCGAGGGAGAAGAGAGGAAATGGATGGGTGGTGGAGAGGAGAGCCGCGGGGTCTGCCGACTCTGCCTCTCCTCCCCTCCAAATTGTCTCGCTCTCCCCAGCTCGCTCTCCTCTTCTGCTCTGCGAGGCAGTGACGCAAACTGGCTGGGCAGTTCTCCTCCCTCTCGCCGCGCTCCCCTCTCTGGTTCCTCCTCCCCTTCCCTCCCCTCCTGTCCTTCCCTCCTCCTTTCAATCTCTCCCTCCCTCGCTCCTTTCCCCTCTTGTTATTAAGGAGAACAGCAGCTGGCCCGACCTAACTTCAAACGCGGTCCCCCGCCCCCCCCCCCCCCCCCCCCAGCTCTCCGAGGCGCTCTCCCTCCATCCAGCCCCGCATGCCAGGGGCCCCGGATAGGGGAACCCACAAAAAGCCCCGATTCTTATTTATTCCCTTTAATTTCGCACACTCTGTAGCTGTATCATAGCAAAATACGACCCTCCAACTTTGGCTGCTTCAAAACGCATCCTATCACTCCTGCCCACGCATTGAAGATTCGGGAGTGAGGGATAGAGCCCTTGAAGAAGGAGCGAACTCGGACAATTTAGAAATAGATCCCTTAAGTAAAAAATAAAAGAGTGCGATTTCAGAAAATTGCTACCTCGCATAACCAGAGATACAGGTTATATCCCTGAAATGTAAGTTCCTGATCATTTCCAAGGTGTTTCAAAAAACCAGTAAAACGTCCTCCCTGCATCACCCCCCCACACCCCCCCCCCCCGCCGCCTCCACACGCACACCGAGTGTGTGGCGAGGAAGAAGCGGGGGGGGGGGGGGGGGGGGAGGTTGGAGGGAGGAGGCAGCTTCTCCGACGTGGTAGAATGTGACCCTGAGCTGAAACCGTCCTTTCTTGGGGGCGCTATTGGGAGGCAAGGCGAGGCGCCCAGAGCCGCTGCAGGCGGGGACCGGGCTGCCACGGTTCCTCCGTGGCCAGCGGCCACGCAGGAGAAACCCGCTTCCGCGCCCCTGTATCTGCTGACGAGCCGACCGAGGCGTCTGCGCCGAGCGTGGCCACACTGATACAGCTTTCTAGGAAATAGCCGGGAGGGGGAGGGGAAGGGGGGAGGCTGAGCTCACCCTCCCTACCCCTGTGCAAATGCCACCCCTTTCTTTCCTCCGAGGCCCCTGACTTCCACCCCTGGTCCTTAGTCCGCATCCTCGCAGGCCCCTCGGGCTCACGCCTTGCTCGCCAACCAGGCTTCCTCCCCGGGAGCGGTGCTGCGGTGGAGACGCTGCCCGTACAGTCGGCTAGGACACGTGCTCACATGCATCCTCTGGTCAAGGCTGCTTTCACCAGGGCTATGGTGGCGTTTCCTCACCTCCTTCCTCTCGCCACCCCTACCCTGCCTTTCAGTGTTACTTCACTTTGGGGGGAAGGGGGGTGAGTCCAGCACCCCAGTGTGTTAGCCGACCTGGCACGTGCAGTGAGCTTGGCGTGGGTCGGGGTCCTGGACATACCGAGGGCTGCCTTTACCGAGGGCCGCCTTTACCGAGAACTGGGGCCCGAACCGGGGTGTGGAGAGCAAGTGTGTGTGTGTGTGTGTGTGTGTGTGTGTGTGTGTGTGTGGCGGGGGGGGGGGGGTGCTGGGGGAGGCTGGGTGAGCAGCTAACTCGGTTCCCTGAAAGGAGGGGGTGGTGGAATAGAGGTGGCGGGGACTGAATAAAACCAGAGGTGCTAGCGATTAACTCAGGCCCGGGGCCAGCCCCTAACCGAGGGTGGGGCGGAAGGGGTAAGGGGAGGGGATATCGCTTTAAAAGGGTGTGTAAGAGTTTGGGGCGCCGTCTCCCCTCCCTCTATTTGCATAGCCAATGGCTCTGGGGCTCCTGCTACTGCGCGCTGATTGTTACCGGGCAGATTACTTTTTTTTCTTTTCTTTTTCTTTTCTTTTTTTTTTTTTTTTTTTTTTTGGTAGGAAGAGTTCCTCGCTACATCAAAAGGAAGCCAAGGCTGGGCGTAGGGAGAGCGGGGGCCGGCGGGCGAGGCTGGGGAGAGGCCGGGCGCCTTCGTCCTTATCAATAGCCGCGGGAATTAGTGTTCAATCTACTGTATAGAAAGCAAGGGGAGGGGAGGGGCGGGCGAGGAAAATGACTAATTGCTGTGGAAGCCATTAGTTTTAGGGAAGAAAAAAAAAAGCGTGCTGAAAAACCCGAGTAGCAAACTCAAAATGAAACACTCGAGGATGACAAACTCAAAGCGTTGACACTGGGGCGCAGTACTTGTTCCTCGGAATAGAGTCGGTCCCTAACAATCACCTATTGATTTTACTCAACTTGGACTTCCCGACTCAAACTGAGTCACTCCGGGTAAATACACTAACTTACATTTGAAGACCCCCATAAAGGAAATACTCAAACTTAGCGGCCTTTGAACGGATCAAAGAAAGCTGCTGAGGGGGGGCGGGCCGGGGTGGGGGGGCTGAGAGAGGTATTTTTAAAATATAAATCTACCCTGACAGGCAAGGACAGAAGCCTGGGAGGGCTTCCAGCCTCTTGACATCACTTGATAACTAATCGAGAGGGGCTCTCTCTCCAGCCCCCTGCACAGAGAGCGTCCCCAGCCACGGCTCTCCCGGAGGGGGCGGGGAACAGGCGGGTGGTCTACCTCCGCGCCTCGCCCACCCCGGGGAGAAACCATGGGTGGCGAACCCTCAAGTCTCTGGCCCTCTCACCCCTTCCCTCCGCCCTACCCCTACCCCAGTCTGGCTTTGGAGAGAAATTCCGGCGGGGAGCGGGCGGGGGCAGAGGTAGTTGCGATGGGGAGGTAGGGGCGCGGGTGGAGTCCCCCTTCTCAATTCACCAGGACCCGCAGGTTCGGACGCTTCCCGCGCTGCAGTCTCGCCTTTGCAAGTTCCCCCATTCACTTCCCCTTCCTATTGCGGACTGCTCCTGAACGCCCACTTCGCAGCGAATCAGCCCCCCGGTCCGTTTCGGTCTCCCCAACTGGTGGGGTGGGGCGCGAGAGGGTGCGGAGGTTGGCAGGAGCGTCTCGGAGAGGCTTGGACCAGAAACCGAGTTTTCCCTTTGGTCGCCACTCCGACCACGTGCTAAAGTCTTCCTTTTGCTGGGTGAAAAGCACTCCACCTCGCACGTGGGGGGAAAGCATGTTGCCTCCTGGGCAAAGCGCGCGTTTTCTTTCCCTGTAGACTTACTCGTAGAGAAAATCCAGCGCCTGTACCGAGGCTTCGAAGTAAAAACTGGGCACTTGGGGAAGGGTGGTCGGAAAAAGAAAGAAAGAAAAAAAATGTTGGTTCTTCCTTACACCTTTTCACCCCTCGAGGGTGGGGGTGGGGGGGAACCCTGTCCTTTGTAGGATCCATGATAAACTTGAGCAAATGCAAGCTTTAAAGGTCTTTTTATTCTCTCCCTTGCGGGCTCCCCACTTCCTACTCTTAGCGTTTGGGAGTTTCGGTTGGAAAGTGTACAAAACCCTGTAGGTGCAGGGTGCAGCCGGGTGTTGGGTGTTTATAGGCACATTTCTGCAGGAACTTGCAACGCGAAACACACATACTCCCGAGCTAACCCGGCGGATGCCCGCCGGGTGATCCCGTAGCCGGCAAGCTTCAGGTCCCGAGAGTTCGAGCCCCGCTGCCTCCGCGTCGGGGCTGTCAGGCTGGATTGGAGGAGGGGAAGGAGTTCAGGCTCCGGAATGGGGGCCGTCGCCCTCCCTTGCCTTCCCCGAAGGGTAAAACTGCCTGTGTGGTTCTCCTGTGAGGGATGGATGGTCAGACAACCAAAACCGAAAACCCGACGGTTATTTAAAAGTGCATGGCAATAAGTCCCAGTTCCAGTTTCGGGCTCCGGGAATGCCGGGAAGGAACGGGAGG